CTTTACCTTTTAAAATCTTTGTTGTCCGTTCATGGTACCATTCAACCCTTTCTATAATTTTTTCATCTTTTTCATTCACATATTCCTTATCTGCCTTCTTCACTAACGCACTAGCCACACGTGCTAACTCATCGTCAACATACTCTTTGTCAGCTTTGTTGTCAATATCTGCTTTCAAAAGAAGTTCATCTATAGGTTTCTCGTTTAAAGTTCTTTTTGTTGGATTTATACAAACAGTATGGTTCTTACTGTCTTGAAACAGAAACTCGTCTGTCATTGGGTTTATCGTCAGTTTTAAGTTTCCTTCTTTCAATGACTCGGATATCTTAGAATAGTTTGAAAAGTTTGTTGTGTTCTTATTTAGAGCTTGCAAAATGAGTTGTCGGTTGTGTTGTATTTCTCTCATAGACGCTGTTTCTTTCGACATTTTTATTCTAGATAAAATATGCTTTCAATAGAAAAAGAAAATTCAAGAGTTGCTACAACTAAACCATTAGATGAACTTTTTACTAACGTAGGTCAAAAGTTTGAGACAGAGACCGTAAAGCATGAAGGCTATCGTTTTGACTACCCGTTAAGATGGTTAAGAGACCCATCCGTCACAAAAGCTATTGGCTTTCGTAGAATGAAGTTCATTTCAGAAGCCATACATGGTTTCCCATTTACGGTCGCTTTTGAAATTCGATACTATAACAAAGAAAAACATACGTATGAGAAATTTGAACAGGGAAAACTTTTACAAGTGAATTTGCTTGTAAACTTAGAAACAACTCTTCAAGCTTTTCAAGAAAAAATAAACGATATCTATCTCGAATATGCAAAACAGTACAACATTGACGAAGGAGAGTACCATCTCGATATTATATATGACAGGAAAAATGCAACTGTTAAAATCAATAGAATAGAAGACCTTGGAGAAGACGTTTATATTTCTACAAAATATAACAACTTGGCATGGTATAGATTTTTGAGGATGTTAAATCAGCCTGCAGAATATCCAGTACACCCGAACTTTTATGAAGTCGAAAACCCTAATGGAACATATGAAAATGTTTTCGACTCAGATGCTATTATAGTTCATGCTTCATTTTCTGGTGCACAAAACTCTTTTTTATGCTTGGCAAATGACTTTTACGAAAAACCTACAAAGCTATACGAACCACCAAGTGGAAGTATTTCAGACTTTCAAGTATGGTTTACTACAGATGGAAGAAAGAGAATAATTCCATTATACCACGCGTTTTACTTAGAACTTAGTTTCATATACAACTACTATCGAACGGTAAAAATATGATTTTTTAATACGGTTGAGGTGTTGGATTTGGTTGCCAACTAGACTGTGGTGCAGGTTCAGGCTGTTGTATAACAGGAGCTTGCTCTTCTGGTTCAGGGTCTTTAGGTATAATACCAACGAACTGACCTACTCTTTTGCCAATATTTTTGACTCCGTTCCAAATTCCTCTTCCGACGGTTTTTATTCCATTCCATATACCTCTTCCAACATTTCGAAAGAAGTTTCCTATTCTTCCAAAGAAACCCATTTTACTATATGTAAAAATCTAATGTCCGCCTAGTCTCTTACGTTTCCTGTTGAGTTCCATTGCATTTTTTAACTGGAGCTCATACATTCTATTTCTCCTCTGGTAGAAAACATATTCTGGGTCAACTCCTGTGTTCGCGTCATCTGCATAGAGTTGTTTATATCCCACTTCAGGGTTTGTATAAAACTCTTTCCATCTCATATTTGCATACCATGGTGGTAAGCCTAACGCAGCGTCATTTGACATGGCAGTTTGCATTTGTACATCTGTTGGCACTTGACCATAGTTTGCCATTGCAGTTTGTATTCTAACTTCATTTGGAATATTCTCTGGGTTTGGTTGTCCAGGTTGCTGTGCATTCGCTAAGTTCTGTGCGTCCATTTAATATTAGATAAAAATATCTCTTACGAGTACATATGCTGAACATTTGCAGGCATTGGTTCATCTTCATATTCTCTATATCTTTCTGCCACGTCAAATAAGTAAATGACACAATGGAAAAAACCTAAAACAAGTAGTCCGATTTCAAACCACATTTACTTACCAATAAAATTTCTTTGTTGAGATTTCTTCGTAAAGACTTTGTTGAGATTTCTTCGTAAAGACTTTGTTGAGATTTCTTCGTAAAGACTTTGTTGAGATTTCTTCGTAAATGACCCTAGTAGTATATTTTTGGTGTAAATTTCATGAAAATTCAAGAGGGTGAAAAATTAGGTGAAAAAACAGGTGAAATCTCACCTCTTCACCTAAAATATATTTTTGGTGTAAATTTCATGAAAATTCAAGAGGGTGAAAAATTAGGTGAAAAAACAGGTGAAATCTCACCTCTTCACCTAAAATATATTTTTGTCTGATTTTACGAAGAAGAAGTCTTGACAAAGTCTTTACGAAGAAGTCTTGACAAAACATTTACGAAGAAGAAGTCTTGACAAAACATTTACGAAGAAGAAGTCTTGACAAAGTCTTTACGAAGAAGTCTTGACAAAGTCTTTACGATGAAATCTTGACAAAGTCTTTACGAAGAAGAAGTCTTGACAAAGTCTTTACGAAGAAGTCTTGACAAAACATTTACGAAGAAGAAGTCTTGACAAAACATTTACGAAGAAGAAGTCTTGACAAAGTCTTTACGAAGAAGTCTTGACAAAGTCTTTACGATGAAATCTTGACAAAGTCTTTACGATGAAATCTTGACAAAGTCTTTACGAAGAAGTCTTGACAAAGTCTTTACGAAGAAATTCATGAAAATTCAAGAGGTGAAAAATGAGGTGAAAAAACAGGTGAAATCTCACCTCTTCACCTAAAATATATTTTTATTGAATTCTGTATAATATTCTGAGTAATATGACAGATGTTTATATAACACTTTCTCCGGTTTATAGGACCTCTCTCATATTCTATCTTGTCATATCAAAACTCATAGTCATGTTTGTCCTCTAAGACTTCATTTATACTAAACATCTTCGGGGCTAGAAGGCACGAAGTGCCTGGAAGCCCCACTACCTTTTTTTTTTTTTTTTTTTTTTTTTTTTTTATATTCTATGAAAAATGAGGTCCGGAAATTTTGCGGATTCCCGTAACTCAATTTTACGGAAAAAGTGCAGTAAACTATTCAAAATACGGAAAAATTGGTGTAAACTAATGATTTTACGGTAAAATCACGGAAAGTCCCGGAAGAATATATGTGCCTATATGAAATTATACAAAAATGAATCAAACGCATTTTAAAAGATTGTTCTTGTATTATAAATGCTATTCGCAGATTTATTAGTTGAAGAAAATTACCAAATTTTTGCCGATTTACAAAAAATGATTTACAAAGCATATTTTTATAAGGCTTTAAAAATCTTTAAAATGTGACCGGTGACGGAAATCCATGGTAACCAACCGCGGTTCCCGTTTGGAATGCCATATTTTTGGTTTTATATTTTTTTGGATCAAATCCATTTTAATAGAATTTATATACTATTCATCTATTAGTAAACACTACCGTATATTATTTTGAGTAGGTGACAAAAGTGCATACTCTTAAACAACCGTCGGATTTCCGGGTGAAATCGTGACACACTTTCGTCTTTCGTAGGCAGTGGTGGTTGTTACAAAAGGTAACTTCGAATGTAGCGTGAAATCTGCAAAAAAAATTCTGAAATTTGAATGGAGAACACAAAAATTGAATAGTTTACGTCAATAAAAAAGAGAAAAATGAAGCCAATGTGTCTCGAACCTAGGACTTAGAGCAGTAATCCCACTGTTTATCCCATTACATATTACACTACATGCATCTCTCACCTCAGTGAATGAGATCAACTATATGATAACTTTTTCCCCATTATATTCTTGTGGAAAAGTGACAAATAGCAACTTTGACCCTCTCTCATATTATTTTTTAAGCTATCTTATTTTTTGAACTTTTATTCAAATCTTTGGTCGCAAGAAGAATTGCATGATAAATAAAAACATTTAATCAAAGTCAATTTTATTTTTCATATTCAAATGGACTGAGTGTTAACATTTAACATTTTTTGCTAATTGTCGTCAAAAATTAGGCGTAAAGCAAAAATTGATATTTCATATGGTTTTATGATAGATAAGCATTATATTCCCACTCATTATATTCGTAAATTTTGAGGTTTATCCTTCGCTTTTAAGATCATTGATTTTGATTTTTATATAAAATAGTTATATATTAGAAAATAATATGAGTTTATGTGATATTATTTTTCAGAAGATTTTGTGTTCTTCTTCAAAATTTTATTTTTTTATTAAAAAGAATCTTTACAAAATATACATTTACTTTAATTAATATTTAAAAACGTGCTCTATCAAAAGTTCCAAAAATTCAATATTTTAGCTTTTCTGAGGTGTTACTTTTGATGAATTTCTGTTTACAACAAATATATTAATAATTTCATACTTTTGATACTGTTTGATTTGAAAATTTTTTAAAAAATATCAAAATATGAATTAACATATATTAATGATGGATAATCGTATTTCTTGGCATAAAAGTTTATAGAATTAAAAATTTTACTGTATATCATTTTAATCAAAATTATTCAATGAGGACAAATTTGAAATTTGAGATAAATATTTAACAAATCGGAAATGTAAAGGTTAGCATATAGAGAATAAAATACCATTTCCATTTGAAACAGAAATATTCTCATTTCATTAGATTATTATCATTAGAACGTTTTGAATATCGAACTGGTATTTATTAATAATTGCAATATTCAGAAATTGCTGAATTTACTCAATGAGAGATTTTCCAAATTTTCAATTTCAATCGCACTCTTTTTTTCATATTTTGTTCTTATATTTATGACAAATATTGATAAAGTTCAAATTGACACCAATTGCTGGATGTATCAGATTTTGCCTGTCAGAAACACTCATTGAGTGTCAGATCTGACACAATCAGGTTAAAAATTCTGATACACAGAAATCAGATCATTTAAGTTTATGTTACCTCTCTTTGCTCTTCAGGCTAGAAGCGTACACTATTACTACGATCATAACGAGGAACAGTACGATGATGACAACCTCAAGTTCGGTATCTCGTACCACTTACCAAGAGGTTGGGGCACACTTGGCTTCCGCTACGAATCCAACGAGGAAGAACTTGATGACGATAACATCAAGTTTAACATCAGAGGTCACTTACCAAAGGGCTGGGGCGACATCATATTCCGCTACGAATCCAACGAAGAAGAACTCGATGACGATAACATCAAGTTCGGTATCCGTTACCACTTACCAAGAGGCTGGGGCACACTTGGCTTCCGCTACGAATCCAACGAAGAAGAACTCGATGACGATAACATCAAGTTCGGTATCCGTTACCACTTACCAAGAGGCTGGGGCACACTTGGCTTCCGCTACGAATCCAACGAAGAAGAACTTGATGACGATAACATCAAGTTTAACATCAGAGGCCACTTACCAAAGGGCTGGGGCGACATCATATTCCGCTACGAATCTAATGAAGAAGAGTATGAGGATGATGACAACATCAAGTTCGGTATCCGTTACCACTTACCAAGAGGCTGGGGCACACTTGGCTTCCGTTATGAGTCAAACGAAGAAGAGTATGAGGATGATGACAACATCAAGGGTGGCATCAGATTCCGTTTACCAAAAAGCTGGGGAGAAATCAGAATTCGCTATGAAAGCAATGAGTAATCTTGAAGAATAATAAAAATTATTCGTCTTGAGAAATAACATTATGATTTTTTTTTGTACTTTTTTTGACAAATCAGAAATAATTACTGCATTACTTCATAATCCATGCAGTAGCCAATAAGCCATTTACTTAAAATTGATTAATCAACCAAATTTTAAAATAGTATGACTGAGAAGAAGCCAAGAATTCAGAACAAATAGATTTACTCAACGAGCGACTTACCTTAGAATTGAATTCGAATAACTGCCAACAATTTTTCATATCATATTTCAAAGAATTTCATTACAAACTTTTTTTTGTATTTTTATGCGAATTTATCTTAAGATGATACAGACGAATTTTTGATTACTCAACGCATAATATCTTATAATGATCTATATAATCTATACCCTTAAAACCAAGCCGATATTATTAACAGTTTTAGAGTGGGGGTACCTTTGCTTTTCGTATCGACTCTGGCTAGAAACTAGAGAAATTAAAAATTTTCAATTTTTGGCCCATTAAAAGTACCTTTTTGAAAATAAAAAATATTTTTATTAATTATGTGTGACATTCGACATATATTTATAAAATGAAGTGATTTGGAGTGATTGGCAAAAAAATCTTGTTATGAGAATTTAAATATAACCCTGAATGATATTCATGTATTATTATTTTAATTTCTGATATTAACTTGTATTTTTCACAGGTAATAATTTAGATTTCTGATTATAATTTATCAAAATTTATTTCAGAATGATCAAAATAGTTATCCAATCGAAGGAATAAATTAAATAAAATTGTTTTAAATTAAAAATTAAATATCATATTTATATTCATCATCATTAAACTCATAGACCTGTTCTGAACTGGATTCTTGTCTTGCATTATGATGCTTTCTTATGATTAATGCAATTATTACAACAGAAATGATAACAATGACTGCAATTAATGGCCATATGATGTACTTTCCAAAGACACTATCAAAAAATCACTTACTTCCTTGTCCTTGATTAGCAATTTGATAAAGTATTAATGTCTCTTGATATGTTTTAGTTTCTTTTCCGTTTTCATCAATTGTGTTTACGATTGTATAAGTTTGGATTAGTGTTTCTGTTGTTTCTCCATCATAATCTGGTGGTAATTTGGTTGGAATTGGAACAGGTAGTGTTCTTTCTGGGAAATCAGATTTGCTTTCAACTGGCTTATTTCCTTCTCCTGGATTTGTGTTTCCTCCTCCTGATGTGGTAGAGTTTCCTTGATCTGGATTTGTGTTTCCTCCTCCTGATGTGGTAGAGTTTCCTTGATCTGGATTTGTGTTTCCTCCTCCTGATGTGGTAGAGTTTCCTTGATCTGGATTTGTGTTTCCTCCTCCTGATGTGGTAGAGTTTCCTTGATCTGGATTTGTGTTTCCTCCTCCTGATGTGGTAGAGTTTCCTTGATCTGGATTTGTTTTTTCTCCTCCTGATGTTTCATTTCCACTGGTTGTAGAGTTGCCTTCATCAGGGTCGGGCGTTTCTTCATTAGGATTAGGTCTTGATGTGTTGATAAATTTAAATGTTCGAATAGCATTCTTAGATGTACTCTTGCCACTATCTTGAACATTAAGAGTGATAGTATTTGTTCCGTTGATTCCTCTTCCTGTAACATTTTTATCGAATGAATGACATGAAGGACGATTTGCTGATACACATTCATATATTTTCTCAAATGGGTCATCATTGAAACTGATCCAAAGAGATAAGTTATCTTCTTCGTCCTCATCATTCAATGTGCCTTTGAGTGGAATTTCATCTCCAAGATAATAAATATATTCTGGATCTTCAGCTGGATCAAGAATCAATGTTGGCGTATTTAAGTTATAATAATAGAACCATTTGGTCAGATATGGAGTTTCTTGACCAAATTGATCGATTATAAACAAATTCAATGAATGTCTTTCATAAGATAGTGAATCCTTTTCGATTTCAATTTGATTTCTTGTGCTCATTTCATTCTGAACAGAGAGAATATCTGTTAGATTCTTGTATTCATCATCATCAATCTTATATCTGATCTGAACATTCATATTTGATTTAATAAGAATTTCGACGTTTATGAATGCGTTTCCATAGTATTTACCTTGCAAAGGTGTGATTAGTTCGAATTCAGGTGGTCTGTAGAACAAGACAGGTTGCTTCATTGCAACAATCTTCTCATTAGTATTTTGATCATTAAGCAAGACTTCGAATATACCTGAAATAGCATTTTGTGCATGTGATGATTTGAATGATTCTAATGTCATTTCGTTGTCAACTTGAATCGAATTCATTTCTTGTGAATCTGAATTGTCTTCAACATACTTCAAAAGAATGTTCATCTTCCTCGTGGATGACTCTATTTCAGGGAACCACTTGTAAATTGCAGAAATTAATTTCGTCTCTAATGGTATTCCACCTTCGCCGATCTGATATGATGTTGTTGCTGTATAATCTTCTGGATCTTTCTTTGTGTAGTTTCCTTCAATAATTGAACTCTTGATATCGTTTTTATCAATTGCTTGTAATTCGTATTTGATTGTTCCTGCACCTGATGGAACTGTAATCTGGTGACTAAATACATACATTTCATTTTTAGAATTCGATGTGAATATAACTTCAGAGAGATCATTAATTGTAAGACTGACTGTTATTTTATCGCTCATTCCTTCATTATGAACTTTGCAATTCAATGTCAAAAGATCATTTCCAAGAATATTATGTTTCTCTTCTATACTTTCTATTTCAATCGAAGGAGGTTTTCCTTCAATAATAACAATTCCATACATTAAAATATTAGAAAATGCATTTTCATCATCGATTGCAAATATCTTGAGTGAATGCGGCCCTTCACTAAGAGATAATTGATTAATCTCTATTGTATTCTTGACATTTACTGTTTCATCGTTGCATATGATATAATCTGTCAAGTTATTCATATCATTTTCGTCAATGATAATCATAATTTTCGCAGATGAATCATCTTTAAGATTCAATTCAAGATCAATATTCGAAGATGGATAGTAGTTCTTATCAACACTACCTACCAATTCTATGGTTGGAAGGATATTGAGAAAGTTAGATTCATTGAGAGCAGAAGCAACAGATTCTCCATTTGATTCGGCCCAGATCTTCATCTTCTTTTTCTCTGCTGTTGTTGGAACACTAACATTAAATGAAAATGAGTCAGAGCGCAGCCTATCATCGACTAATAGTTCGCCAACTAATACTTTTTCGATTTCTTGTAATCTCTTCTTGCTTTCCATAGGAACTAATGAATAATAGACTTTGAAAGTTTGATCTGGATCGAAGTCTCCGATGTATCCTTTGATTGTTATATCATCTCCTTTCTTCTGAGCAAATTTGATATCCGTATCCATGTATATGCCTGGTCTCTTTTCGACTCTGAGGAAGTGAGTGATGAACTGTGATGTTGCACCATTCTTCGTTCTGGCTTCAATTGTTACAACAAACATGGCATCAGATCTTGGAACTGGAATATTCAAACTGAAATCTCTGAACATATCACAACCGATGTATGATTTAATTTCTTGATAATCAGTGTCATTTATCTTGTAATAGAATGTAACGATACTGTTCATTACTGACTTATACTGACCACTGATATCTATTGTTTGATGATATGCGTAAAGTGTCTTTGAACTATCAAAGACATAATTTACTTGAGGAGCGAAAATACTTGGGTTGTAATTAAATTCTACAACAATTTCTTCCGATTTTGCATCAAATTCATCAATTGCATATAAATGCAATTTGTTATTTCCTCTTGATGGAAATGCAAACTTCAATGGAATCTGTAATACTTTAGTAATTGTTTCACCATTTGAAACAAAACTGAATAATTCAACTTGCTTGTCATACAATTCATTGAGGCAATAGAATAGTTTGGCTATTGTATTATCACTCACTTCAACATGAATATCGAAATGATCTAATGCATAATACGTTTCACGCATATTGTTGAGAAGTTTAACCTTAGGATCTAGATTGAATAAATATTCATACTCGTAATCTTGAACGGTTTCTGATCCATCTTTCAAAATTATATTAATATAGGGTGTCCAAAGGTGTGTTTAGCACAAACCTGAATACTGCGAATAGAAATAAACAAGTTACATATATATAAAGTTTATTTAAATATAATCACCATTGGATTCAATCACGCGTTCGCAGCGATCGATCCAGGCTTGAAAGACACGCTTTAAATCATCATGAGAAAATTGCTCAAATTGCTCTCTTACAAAATTTTCAAGATCATCTGGACTCGCGAATTCGCGTCCTTCAGCTCTCTTTTTTAGCGTGCCGAATAAATAAAAGTCAGAGGGTGCAATATCAGGTGAATAAATTGGGTTTGGAACAACTTTGACATTGTTTTCCACCAAGTAATTCATTACCTTATGACTTTTGTGAACTCTTGAATTATCAAAATGAATTGCAAACTTTTGTTTTTGTTGTTTGGATTTCTCAAACTCATCAGAATTGATAATTTGAGTAAGAACATTGTCAATTAGATACTGAGCATTCATCGTATTAGGTTTTTGAAGAATATCAATTGCGATGATGCCATTCACGCCCCAAAAAACTGACAACATCATCATTGGTGTGTCAATTTTTTTCTTCGGGAATGTTTGCGGATTTTCATCCTTCGGGATCCACATGATTTTGGCTTCTGTTGCATATTGAAACCAAGACTCGTCCCCTGTTACTAAAAAGCGAAACTTCTTGGATTGATACGCACCCAATATAGAGAGGAGCTCTTTCGAAGATTGGACTCTAGATTTTTTTTGAACTGAATTAAGGTTGTGCGGAACCCAACGTGTATACGCTAGTATGTAGTTCAAATAATTGTGCAGATAATAACTGACTGTTGTACGTGGCATCTTTGTCATCTCCTCTATCCTTCTGAGTGATGCTCTTGGGTCTTCATCTAGCGCTTGAAGAATTGCTTTGATTTTTCTTTGATCCGGCGATTTTTTGTCAATTTTTATGATGGGCGCCTTTTTGTTCATGAAGTGATACATCCTAACATGATACGTTACAGTGGAATAGCTAGGAGCATCCATACCGAAGCATTTTACCAATGTCTCGTAGATTTTTTTACAGTCTTTGCATTTTTTTGCAAGAGCGAGGATGTTTTCTTTATGATTCATTAAAAAAATGAAAAAAATCCCGCCAAAATTTCCCGCGAAACCGCCTCTTGTCTCAAAATTCATTTTATATCCCGGCATGGCGCCAAAATACAACATACTCATCATATACATATATTCATATTTTTTTATTATATTTATAATCAGCATATATCTCCTTTAATAGTCTCATATAGAGCGCTGTGCTAAACGCACCTTTGGACACCCTATATGATGTTTAGTTCTTTCATCGCCATTTGGAATTGTTATTTCAAATAAATCAGTCTTGTAATTTGAATGAGAAGTAAATTGTCCAACATGAACCTCTTCACCATTATCAATTTTGAAATATATATCAGCATTTGTATCTGGATCAAAATCTAAAATATATCCAGAAATAATGTTTGATTCTCGATTAGAATATGCCTTCTTTGGTAATACTTCAAATGAAATGCTTCGATATCTCTCAACATAAAAAACTAATACTCTAGTAATTGAATAAACATTATTTGGATTGACAGTCCTCAAATATAATATATGATATCCTTCTACTCTAGGGTTGGGAATCGTAATTTCTTGATTAAATGAAGGATGATTATAATTTGTAGTGTATGTAAAAACAGTTTGAAAATCACTATTATCATCAATTTTATACTGAAAATCACCAGTAATACGTTGCCATTTTGTATTAAATACAGTTATATTCATGTAAATTTCATCATGTAAGAAAATATGTTCATGAAAATCTGAATTAATTTCAAAGCGAGATGCATGTGACCAACTTGATTCTAAATTAAAGCTAATTTCATCTGATTTGATTCCTTTATCATCAACTACATACACATCAAATTTACCTTCATTTAAATCGACTGAGCATGATATATTAATTAATCTTCCATAAGACGAGATTTCATTTTTGGTTATATTAAAATGCTCGCTATAATATCTATCATATACCATAACTGAACATTTTTGATCACATTTTACACCAAGATCAAAGTCAATTAAATCAGTTTCAAATTCATAATACTTTTGAGGGAATATTGAACGAATAACAAACTCAGGTTTTTCACCTATTGCGAGTTTTCTTTCAATTGAGTACATTTTATCTCCATCAAAACATGTAATATTTATAATAAAATTAAAAATATTCCATGGCTTGACTTTATAATTGAATGTGATCAAATCTGCAAAATATTCCTCATTAACATGAACTGTCCCAATTGGGTAATTATCCATGCCATCAAAGTACTGGAGTTCGAAATCTTGGTTTGGATTGAAATCAACTAGCTTAACTGTTATTGGGATAATCGAATTGATTGGATATCCTTTTTCTAATTTGTTGATAATTTCAAGCTTTTGTTCTCTAACCACATAGAAAATTTGATAATAAAGACGAACTCTATTATTTTCTGAATTAACTTCTTTAATTAAAAAGTTAAGACGATGCTCACCTTCAATTCGTGGGTTTTTATATGTGGTTGGAATTCTATAATAATAACTACTTAAATTTTCTTTTATCAATTCAAAGTCTTCATTATCGATGGAGAAATATAAATTAAGAGGTAATTCATTCTCTGATTCAACATAGCCTTCTTTAATTTCCACTTTATCAGAGTATTTTAATGTATAGTTGATCATATAATAACCAATATAAACACTGAATCTATTATTAGTTACCATAAAGCTTTTCGTAATTTGTTCAGATTGAAGACCGAATTCATCAACTAGCCAGACCGTAAGTTGATGGATACCTGCATTTTTTGAAGATTCAGGATTAGTATAAAGATTAATGAGTTGATTTTCATTTGTTCCAGTGATAAACGCAGAGTATGATATATTGTTCCTTGAATTTTCATCATCATACCTCCAATAAACTCTGAATTTTGAATCATCTTTGACTTCCAAAGTAATCGGAAGGGATTCACGTTGGTCAATGGTTTCTTTAACAAACGATAATGAAATTATTTGTGGAGCAGCTGATAAAATGATTTCATATTTTGTTGTGAATGTTGATACATAGTTTTCATCCCTTGCCCAAAAATGAAGGGTGTAATTATTGATAATTTCAGGCAGTTTTAGATTAAATGAGAATTCATTGGAAGAGAAATCATCATTTGTTAATATATTAGTGGTTCCAATGTTTTCCTTGAGATTACTATCAGATTTATCTGATATTGAGTAAATTACTTCGTAGTTCTTATTTGGATCACAATCAACGACAAAACCTTTAATTTCTATTGTTTCACCTGGATTATATCGTTCTGATATATTTGTTGATATCAAGACAGATGGATGTTTTCGAACATATAAGTGGTATTCTCGTGAAACAGCATCAGCATCTGTTGAATCTCTTGCAAGGAATTTAATTTTTGTAGTTCCCTCAATATGAGGAATCTTATAATCATAGTTGAATGTAAGTTTTTGCCCTTCAGATTGTTGATCAAAAACAAGAATTGGTTCTTCATTGTTGATTTTAACATAAACATAAATATGATCACCAACATCTGAATCTTGAACACTAACGTCAAATTTAGCTGTTTCGAAGAAATAAAATATTCGATTATAGTAATTGTTATATGTGATTTCTAATACTGGAGCATTCCTCATGTCATAATAAAAACTTCTCGTCATTATTTCACTTTTTTGCATGAATCTATCTCTCAGATATACTGATACTGTATGATATCCTGAATCATAAAATTGTGGGATAATCAATTGAGTATTAACATTGGTGATAGCTTCAGCATTGAAATAACTATATTTATCATCATCATATAAATTATCAAAATAATAATATATGTAGCAATCTCCAAAAACCTCAGCAGAAATAATTGCATCAAAGTTTATTGCACCATTCTTATAATAAACATCTTTTGTTTCGTTCCAATGCAAAATTTTTGTAGGTTTTTTATCTGATGAATATAGAGATATAGAATTACTTCTAGTATCGTAGTCATCGCTACCAGCTTGAATTTCAATTTCAAAATATCCATAATTATAAACTTCAGGTAATTCAATTTCTAATATAACTTCTGATGTTTGGTAATTATTATTACCTATTAATTCTAAACCACTATAGTAACTTATCCATTGATCACGATTAAAACAATTTAACTTGACCTTTGTGTTTGGTTTAACATTAACAACTTTGGTGGAAATCAACACGGTTTTACCAGGATTGTATAATGGTGTCAATGGAGTTGCCTCAATTCCCAAATAAATATCAATAGGTCTTTGGAATCTTAAATATTCGATGTTGGTAATTTTGTTATTTTCATTAATGGCATAAATAATTAAATATTCATTACCAATTCCGAATAAATATCCAGGAACATAAAATGAATGATAAAATGTTTTGTTTGTGGCATGATATGATGTAACAACATAAGGATTATAACCAAATACTTGTGCATATATTGTGACGTATGTATCTGGAACATGGTTACATTTGACATCAAAACCAATATTGTAATATAAAGGATTTCTCCAATCTCGAGGAGAAAGATCAATGAACGGCTCATTGCAGTCTTCAACTAAAACTGTTTTGTTTGTGAAATTAGATTCATCTTCGAAAAGTCCATAACCAAATTGGAGTTCTCCAAGACGGTATGCTGTATCGGAATAACCCCATGCTTCATTTTGTTTTCCATATTCATTTGTGAGCTTGACCATTCGATTATTATAAATGCGAGAATTATTAAATTTATAGTAGAATGTCGGATTATCACCACCTTCGATTAAATATTCTACACGAATCTGAGCATTTTTACATATTTTTTCAGGGATGGTAGAAGTTTGTTGGTAGCTAGTCAATGGATCATTCTTCTCAAAGGAAAATTCTTCATCTTTGACAACTTGATTAGTTGAGTTAATAATTTTAATTTTTACATTATATTTTCCATACATTGAAGGAACTGGTATGGATACATTTACAGAAGTCATATAATCAATTTCAGATGTGTGTACGCCATCAATTTGTCTAATGTCATCTGAACCTTCTATATAGTATTTGATAGTGAAAATTTCAGAAGGAGGATAATCAATAATCGTAACATTATATGTACAATTTTCTCCTGAATACATTGTAGATCTTTTAGGGCCTAATTTTTCAATATTGATTTCTGGATAGTATTTTATTGAAAATTTATGTAACCTTGATTGCAAAATAACATATGGATCTGCGAAATAGAATTGAACACTATATTCACCTTCTTGTTTTAAGTTGAATTTATATTCGAATGTAAAACGCCCAGTATATGCTGTCTCAGTCATAAGTGACTCATTTTGTCCATTAATTGATATATTAACTACAAATTTCTGATTATAGTTGGGTTCCAAAACCTCTATATCGAATTTTATTTCATCTCTAACCGTATAATCTCTATTGTATACACTACTTTTAACATCGAAAGATGGTGTATATGCATCAATAATATTAATGTCATAATCAAAAGATTTTATTACTTTAGCATATTCGATAGGGATGCGACGATTTTACGCCATGACCGTTTAAAAATAGAATAATACGCCATTCGGCAGAATAACAAAACAATACAAAATTATCGCCGTCCTTTTTTTTCTTTCTTTCTCTTTTTTTTCTCTCTCTCTCTTTCTTTTCTCTTTCCTCTTTTTACTCCTCTTTCTCTTCTCATCATTAAACGTAGAAAGATATATTAATATTATTTTAAAATTAAAAAAAATAAAGAAAGTATAATAAGTAATTATTTAGTTATCGATATATATATATGTAAAGTGATAATCTGAGGATAATCTGAGGAGGAGTCTGAGGATTAGACCGAGGAGTAGTTTGAGGAGTTTGATGATAATCTGAGGAGTTTGAGGAGTAGTCTGAGGAGTTTGAGGAGTAGTCTGAGGAGTTTGAGGATAATCTGAGGAGGTTGAGGAGTAGTCTGAGGAGTTTGAGGATAATCTGAGGAGTTTGAGGATAATTTGAGGAGTTTGAGGAATAGTCTGAGGAGTTTGAGGAGTAGTCTGAGGAGTTTGAGGATAATTTGAGGAGTTTGAGGAGTAGTCTGAGGAGTTTGAGGATAATTTGAGGAGTAGTCTGAGGAGTTTGAGGATAATCTGAGGAGTTGTCTGAGGAGTAGTTTCAGGAGTTGTCTGAGGATAATTTGAGGAGTTTGAGGAGTAGTCTGAGGAGTTTGAGGATAATCTGAGGAGGAGTCTGAGGATAATCTGAGGAGTTTGAGGATAATCTGAAGAGGAGTCTGAGGATAATCTGAGGAGGAGTTTGAGGATAATCTGAGGAGGAGTTTGAGGATAATCTGAGGAGGAGTCTGAGGATAATCTGAGGAGGAGTTTGAGGATAATCTGAGGAGGAGTCTGAGGATTAGACCGAGGAGTAGTCTGAGGAGTTTGAGGATAATCTGAGGAGGAGTTTGAGGATAATCTGAGGAGGAGTCTGAGGATAATCTGAGGAGGAGTCTGAGGATAATCTGAGGAGGAGTCTGAGGATAATCTGAGGAGTAGTCTGAGGATTAGACCGAGGAGTAGTCTGAGGATTAGACCGAGGAGTAGTCTGAGGAGTTTGAGGATAATCTGAGTAGTCTGAGGATAATCTGAGGAGGAGTCTGAGGATAATCTGAGCATAATCTGAGGAGGAGTCTGAGGATTAGACTGAGGAGTAGTTTGAGGATAATCTGAGGAGGAGTCTGCGGATAATCTGAGGAGTAGTTTCAGGAGTAGTCTGAGGACTAGTCTCAGGACTAGTCTGATGAGGAGGACTCTAAGGAGTAGTCTGAAGAGTAGTCTCAGGAGGAAGATCTGAGGAGGAGTCTTATGAGGAAGATCTGAGGAGTAGTCTGATGAGGAGGGGTCTAAGGAGTAGTCTGAGGATGATGAGTAATCTGATAAGGAGTAGTCTGAGGATGATCTGAGGATAACCTGATGACTAGTCTAGGAGTGGTCTAATAAAAATGTAAAATATTTTAAAAGAAAAAATTCTATGAATTTTATATTTTAATTCTTAGCATTATACTGAATAAAATAAACATAAATATCAAAATTTGAAATTGAACACGCCAAAAAATTGATAATCCACATTCAATATTTTGTAAGTGGCGTACATTTTGAATACTCACCATACGCCTTGGAGTTCTCAATTTTGAATTTGCCTTTATTTGGGCGACCTCAGAAAAATACGCCATTAAGAAAATATTGTATGAGATTTTAAATTTGAACACGCTCTACCTTAAGGAATTAAATTTATTAAGATATATTTATATATAATAAACGATTACTTAAAAAAAGTATTTCATCGCTTATGTAAGTTTCAAAAAAATCACGAAAATAAAAAATCAAGATTAAAATTTTATTTTTAATTTTTGAATTTCTCAAATGGCGAAATTTTTGGGCGAACAAAAAAAATGTACGCCCGGTCAAATGGCGTGTTTAACGCATCCCTATATTCGAAAACCATCGAAACGCGGTATGGGCCGGCATACGTATAAGGAATATCTAAACGTGCAATATAATAATCTGGTTTAGATGAATAATAAAAATCAAAATTCCCAATGCCCAAAATTGTATCATTGAAATAACATTTAAAACTACACCAGATACCAGTGATGTATGGGATATAATATACTTCTCCTTTCATGAATTCCGTTTTCATCTCGAAAATTTGTGGATTGAAGAGTTTATAAGATTTTGCAACATGAACTTCCTTTGTTATATGATCATATGCTGTTCCATCTTTTTCTCCAATATAAACTTCATATTTTTGATTATCAGAATCACAGTGAGCATTGATTGAAGCGATTACAAATTCACTCTTAGAATTTGCAGTGAAATATTGAACTTCACCTGTTTTGTTGTTCGGTTTTAAACCAATATAATATTCTTTTCCAGGATCTAATCCTGTTACATTGCATTCGATAACGAAATCTGGACTATCAGCTATATCTATGCTAGGTGCTGTATCATAAACTCTTGGGTCATCATTAAATTGTTCAATATCTGTTCTTGAATCCGATTTCACACCATTTTCATCCATTAGAAAAACTGTTAATATATGTTCACCTGGTATATCTGGAGCTTCAATATAAAAATACATACCCCTACTATTTGCTTTTATATTAAATCTTTTTGGTGATTCATCCCAAGAAGTGTAAATTGAAATAGGACCAGCTATGTATTTTATGTCGAAATTTAATAAAAACTCTGCAGAAGATCCTAAATTCCATGGAGAAGACCTACGATAAAATTCATATATACGTGGTTTGAATGAACATAATAAGGTAAAATTGAATTCATATTCATTTGATTTGATACCATCTTCATCAATGAGGTATATTTTTATTTTGTGTTGTCCTCTTTCATTTTCAATAAGTTGTTGCATTTTTTCACTGTCGATATCTGATAAATCAATACTATACTTCGAAAAAATTGCTTTCATATTTGTTGATAAAGTCTGTGTAATAATTCCATTATTTCTAAAATCGAATCTTTCATGAGTTTCGATGATATCTGAGTCATCAATTATCAATTCGATATATCCTGATCGTTGACCTGAAATATTCAGATTGAATGTGATATCTTCTAATAAGAAAAGTTTGCTTTTAACTAATGAGCAATGGTCATCTTGGTGATGGTGCATTCAAAATCACTCTTCTTGAACGCATCAACATCTGTTCTCATAAACTCAATCCTTATTATTTCTCTTATTCTCAATTTTTCTCTTTAATTTTACTAAACATATTCATATCCTAATTTATTCGTAATTTACTTTTCCAAAAGTGAACAGTTCATATGTTCATTCGAATTATATACATTAAATCCCAATTGTTTTTGTTATGATTAAGAGAAGGGATTTCAATATCGGATATTTAATGTGTGTCAATTTAAAAAATAGAAAGTCTACTGGCACTTTTCCGACTTTCAATAGGGGTGTGGCGTGACTCAAAAATGTTGTGAAAATGTAATTATCTAGATATGATTTTTGTTTCTTCGATTGCATCAGAGTATTCAAATTTTTAAGGGTGCACCCGTATGTACGTTTATTTGAGAGGAGGATTACCCTCTCAATTTTGAGGGATTCGTTAGTTTATTTTCTCGATGAATATGCAATAAAATTTGATTTTTACTAGGGTTGTTAAAAATAAGTTGGCCTATTCAAATAATAAAATTAAATAATATTTAAAATAATAAATAAAAGTGATTGAGGTCATAGCAAAACGGCTGTTTGGAGGCAGTTAGGAGCTAGCGGTTGAAGCGATAACATTCATAGCCAACATCTACGGTCAAGCGGCAGCATTCAAGGGCAACATCTACAATCAAGCGGCAGCATTCAAGGGCAACATCTACGATCAAGCAGCAGCAAGGAGCTACGGCAGCAACGAACTACGGCAGCAAGGAGCTACGGCAGGTCAAGCGGCATCATTCAAGGCCAACATCTACAATCAAGCAGCATCAAGGGGCTACAGTAGGTCAAGCTGCAGCATGGAGCTACAGCATCAAGGAGCTACGGCAAGTTAAAGATCAGTCAGATCTGGAAATATCTTTTTCAGGATTTCATTTGTCATGAAAAGCTTCAATAGGATTCTACACTTTATTAGATCTTCACGTGCGTTTTGATTAAACCTATTACGCAGGTTCCGCACAATTGAAATCATTCTTTCCACATCAGCTTCGGTTGCAGCAATAGACATGAATTTTAAGGCAATCTCTTTCAATGCCTTGAAATTTGCATCACATGCTACCCAAAACCTTTGATCCAAGCAGGTGAGGTCGGTGTTGTTCCTGATTTCACTCTCATTCATATGTATAAAGTTGGAAAGAGCTTTCTTGTACTCATTAGCTATGTTCTCTTGGCCGAACTTCTCTTGTAGAACCTCGCTTCTGCTTCTGCACGTCTCGAAAGCATCTCGATCATAAAATCGTTGAAGCTGTACTCTTCCACTTCTTGCATTGACAGAGACGCCCATTCACCAAGGTTCCTGCCTAGTCTCCTCCTTGGTTCATTCTCTTCAACTTCTTCATCCTGAGCAATGTCTTCTGCATCTACTTGGCCATCACCTTCAATTGCTTCGTTCTCAATCTCGGGCTCTTCTATATCTAGATTTCTGTCCAATTGATCCTCTGCCACTTCATCCAAATGATCAGGGGTGTAGCTCCTTGGAGGGATTTCAAGTTCAGCATTGATAGGTATTGGTTCTTGGAAGAAGAGTGAAACGTCTGGCTTGTACTCAGTATGCATGTTCAATTCTGCGCGGATGACTGACCGGCCCCATGGAGTTAGACCAAAGGCAAATTTCATCAAAGCGTAGTTGCCCTGTTTGTCAAAAACTTCATTCATGTTGGCGATTAATGCATCTGCAATGCGCTTTGACGAACTTGATAATTCAGGACGATTTGCAATTCCGGTCAACTGCTCAATCGTCGATTGAAACATTGGATAGATGTAGCAGAAGCAGCCAACGTCACTCTCTGCATAATTCAAGAGTTTCTTGATTGGTAAAAGAATCTCTTCGAAATTTAACAACCATTGTGGAAGTCCATCCTTGAAATCAATTCCCATATCCCTTAAGATCTGAACAGATTCCGGTGGATCATCCATATTGAACAATTCATAAATTTTAGGGTGTTTTTCTTTTATCCACTTCAGAAGATCCCAGAAAAACATCCAGCGATGATCCGGAACATGAATAACCCTCATATTCAATGCCCTTCTCGTGTCCGGCTTCGATAACTCCTTGCTTATCGCTTTGCAATAATTAATTTGCATTGCGAAAGCTGCACAATTGTCTGCCGTATGCTTCACCACTAAGTTGAGGAGATGCGCAACACATCGGATATAAACGGTTTGAAGACCCGGATATAGTGCTCCGCATCTCCTCCAGTGGCACAGCCCTTTAACTTGGGCGGGGCATCCATCGGCAACAATTGCAGAAAGGAAATCCTTTGGGAAGGTAAAACATTCAAAGAAATTATTGTAATCCCTGGCATTCCAACCATCAGCGATCATAGTATCAATGAAGATATGGTTCTTCATTTTTGCTGGATTGCTAGCCATCACAAAAAAGCCATGCCGGCTTCCGTGTGATGCCGCATCAATTGTTATCGAATAGTAGCCCATCTTGTCAAGCTCAACGTGTATTTTTGGAGCTACCAAGTCGGCTAATGTAATGATTCCATCCCTTATCTCGTCTCTTCTATATGGGATCTTGAGTTGAAAATTGATTACTCCCTTGAAGGTGGAGTAGACATGTCGGGCGAAATCTTCTAGTACACCTGAAGCGGCCATATTGATTGACATGTTGGTATCCACAACAAATTTTACAACATAAAGTAATTTTCTATCTTGTTTTATTAAATCTCTTCTCGTATATGGATTATTTTCACATTGTATTTGATATATATGCTGATGATCTTCATCAAATTCTGATGGTTTTCGATGATAAATGCAGCGCATATATGTTTTTGTTAGTAAATTGTAATGTATCGCTAAACAATAACAATAAAGTCTTTTTCGTTCTTTCGATTTTTCGCTTGTATCTGGAAGATAAGCAATATTGAAACATACTCGACATTTATTATTAGTTGAGAATTTAGTATCCTCGAATTTTGGTAAGGGAGGTACTTTTCGAGGGATATTTTTGGGAGGAAGTTTGCAATCAATCCATCCCTCAAATTTGGATTCATATTCATCTTGTGTTTCAGTCATTAATTCTTAAAAATAAAAAGGGTAAAAACTAAATAAAATGGGTAAAATTCAATAGTGTCTGTGCTATCGTTCAATTTGAATGTGTCTTTTGAAACCGCAAGACACATTGAATTTTTGAATAGTGTATTATGGTTTGACAGACACCAATGAAAAAAATAAAATGATATTTATTTTAAATATATAAGATCCTTATATAAAATATAAATATTTTATCGTTTTATTTTCTTGTTTTAGAAATGTTTTTTATTGAAAAATCAATAAAACTAACTCCAAAATAAAATTTTTGATTTAAAGACACTATGATTATAGATACAAGGTGATGTGATTTTTGCATCCCTGGGATGGACGATACACCCAAAATGTCACCTTTTTGGGATAACAAAATTTTATGTGTTATTAGAGTTCTGCAAACCATATGCACAATATCTATTCAGCCTGACTTCTTGTATATAGGAGTCTGGCTGAATAGATATTGTGCATGTGGCAATATAAGTAATTCCGAGATTACCATCGTGAGCTATAGTACACTACTTCTTCTTGGTCCTAGCTCAGTTCCAAGGATATCAGTGTTCAAGGATTTGGCAAGGTCCTTCTGAAGTCTCTCATTCGATGAGAGATTTCGGAAGAACCTTGCCTTAAAGTATTCCAACTCTTGTTCTCTTGTTCCTGAATAGTCAGAAAAGTTATTTGACTACTTAAGGCAGAGATTATCCGAGGTCCCTCATTTGATGAGAGGCCTCGGATAATCTCTGCCTTAAAGTTGTACACTTGTAGTCAATTAGAATGTAAGTATACACGGATAGGACAGCTTTCTTCTGAAGTCTTAGATTTGATGAGAAGCCTCAGAAGAAAACTGTCCTATCTGATAATAAAAGGAGTTTCAGAAGCTCCAGAGCTCCCTTTCGTAAGGAATGGGAGCTTTGAAGCTCCTGGTTCGAAGATGTGCTTCGCATCTTTCATCAGCATAGGACATTTACCATCTGGGACTCTGTTGATGAAGACTCAGGAGCTCCAAAGCTCCCTTTCGTAAGGATTAGGAGCTTTGGAGCTCCTGGTTCGTAGAAGAGCTTCGCATCTTTCATCAGAAGAGGCCCAAATGGTAAATAGCCTCTGCTGATGAGCTTCAGGAGCTCCAAGGCTCCCTCTCGTAACGATTAGGAGCTTTGTAGCTCCTGAAGGTAAGGTAGGATTGCTCTGATCTCTAATCAGTAGATGCCATGCCTCATTATGGACTCTACTGACAAGAGATCAAGAGCTCCAAGGACTCCCTTTTTATCTAGTGGCATTCTCACCATTTAGTAGGATCGCTGATCCTACTAATGAAGTGATCACTTAATGTACGTTTTGAATAAATTGAATTTTTTTTACAAAAATTTAGTATTTTTTATAAACATCACATATATATTATAAATACGTAAATATATTCTTTAATTCAAAAAATTCAATTCGGTTTCGGGCTGGGTATCCCAGCCCCAAGTATTCAATTTTATTCAATTTTTTAAGAATTTTTGGTTGGGATGCCCAGACCAAAACAAACTTTATATTTTGATGTGTAGATACGTATGTGTACATCATTATTGCGTTATATATTATGTTTTTAATGAAAAAAAAATTTGATTCAAAAAAAATTATCACTAATTAGTTGATAACATAAAGAAAAAATATATAAATTGTATGTTTTGAGAGTATTTATCCACATTCACTCATATGAATTTCATTAAATAGTGTCTTTTTACTCCCAAATTTATTTTGTATTATTGAAATCAAAGAAAAAAAAAACTTTAAAAATTTCTCGAAATTTTTATTTTTAAAAAAATTTTGGATTTTATATTAAAAACTGACACTGGGAGGACGATAGGGCTGGGATTAGAGATACCCCGCTCACTTGGGAAAAATACGGATCTATACTATGATGACACCAGGCAAATCTTCCAAGACACCTATCGTCGGGAATCTAACAACCCTATTAAAATTCAAAAATCCCTTAATTCCTGAGGATTTTGGAAAAAAGTTTTTACATGAACATGTGTATATTATATGAAGTATATTGATAAGGTAAAAATCAAATTTTATTGCATATTCATCGAGAAAATAAACTAACGAATCCCTCAAAATTGAGAGGGTAATCCTCCTCTCAAATAAACGTACATACGGGTGCACCCTTAATATTCCAAAAAAATTAGTAATAATTAAGGTTTTCTTCTATAGTATATTTTCTAACAACTTCTAAATAGATCATTATTTATTATAGTGTCTGACATGATTAAAACAAATATTACGAGATCATTTAAAGTAAACTATTTATTTCGGTTCCGATTCAATTAAAGTCAACCTATTTATTTATTCAATGGTCTCGTAAAATTGAGACCATTGAATAAGATTTCATCATCTATTACTTTAATGTTCTATATTATCTCGTTTATAAATAATGACTTTTTTCTCCGAAATTTTAATCATGATGATTAATTTTATAACGTGCTCACATACACACACAATATTTATTCATTTTTAGAAAGGTTTAATAAACATTGAAAATTGTATGTTAGATAATTTTTGTTTTTGAAAAATATCTTCGTAATTATATTCTAATTATTATTCAAAAAATGACCGCTATCAAATATTTGATAAATAGTCTCAATAATTTTCAAAAACGTTATTTGAATAGAGGCTTAAAACTTAATAGAATTTTATGTGTTTATTAGAAATACAATAGATATTAATCTCCTTTAAAAAATGTAACGTATTATATGTCATATTCAATTATTAATTGGGTAATATTGAATCTATCAAAAATGCAATTATTTTAAACATGATTAAAAATTTGCAGAAACTTTTTCAATTCATTAGAATATGTCACATTTGCGGACAATCTTTCGGTTTGATATCCTTATTGCAACTAACAATTGCCAATCATGATTCGGAATGGAATCATATATATGGTGAAGACAATAATAACATTTCTACTAACAGCAAACCATATAATTTTAATTGCTCTAATTTTTATTTAGAAAATGTGATCTTTGAAAACTTTTCCTCTTATATTATTGACATAATAGAGAATGATTTTTCAAGTAATAATAATAGACAATTTAGATCACTTATTTCATCGTGCACAATTACAAATGTTTCATCTGGCAGAATCAATTCTGCCATAAGAATATATAGCAAAGATTGTGCCTTATTAAAGATTTGTGGAAAGGGAACTTGCGCTGGCCCAGAAGCAAATTCAATTTTTTCATTTATTAAAACTAACCAAAATGGAATTCATTATTATAGCCAAATGTCAATTACAAATAATAATCAAGGGATAATACAAGGATCGGATGGATTGGGAGCACAATGCGGAAATATCATTTTTTCTGAGAATAATATCACCAAAAATTATGCCGTCAATCAATCAGCGCTTTACTTTCGAGAAAGTACAAATGTTAGTGTCAAATTTTCTATTGTTACTAATAATTGTGGAAAACTGAAATTATGCGGTCAAAACCAATGCTCGGCAAATTACTCATATGTGATTTTTAGGAATAATAGTGCAACAGAAAGTGAGGCAGGAAATTTAGGGCTTATTAGATCTAATAATGCAAATACTTGTTTTAATTATTGCTATTTTGTGGATAATTTTGTAGAAAATGGTTTTTTATTTGGAACAGTATATAATACGGATACCATAACTTTAATATACTGCATGATTATTGGTAATACAATTCAAATTCATTCTGGAAATGGCACTTTTGTAATAAACAGAAATTCGTCAAAAGTGACAGCTCTCAATTTTTGACATTTGTAAATTCTAAATTGAATGAGAAAAATGAAATAATACTAAGCATAATACAATATTCTAGATTTAATTATAATTAGGAAAAAGTTAGTTTTGAGAGTACTTTTCATAG